AAACAGAGTGCAGAATACAGTGTTACAGCCACAGAGAGGGTGCAGAGAGATCAACATTAATATTTGAGAGGTCTGTTCAAAAGACTGACACCAGTGGCGAAAAAGCTGTTCTTGAATCTGGTTGTGGAAGCATTTAAACTTTTGTATCTTCTACCAGACAGGAGAGAGTGGAAGGAAGTATAACCAGAGTGGGAGGGGTCTTTTATTATTTTGATTGCCTTCCCAAGACAGCGGAAAGTGTAGATGGAGTCAATGGATGGAAGGCTGGCTTGCATGATGGACTGGGCTGTGTTCACACAACTCTCTGTAGTTTCTTATGATCTTGGGAAGGGCAGTTGCTGTTTCCACACTGTGATGCATTCAGAAATGATGCTTTCCACGGTGCATCAATAAAAATTGGTCAGAGTCTTTGTGGACATGCTGGATTCCCTTTACCTCCTGTTATTGTGCTTTCTTATTCGTCGCATCAACATGGACTGGAACAGATTGTTGGTGATCGCAACTCCCAGGAACCTGATGCTCTGGACCATCTCCACCTCAGCACTATTGATGCAGACAGAGGTGTGTCCTCCTGCCTCCTGAAGTCAATGATGGAAAGATTGGACTTTTGAGGCATGCATAGAACAACATAGCAGTGCAAGAACCACACACACACACACACACACACACACACACACACACAGTAACAGGAGGCAGTGAGTCACAAATTCATAGAGTAATACAGCATGGAAATAGGCCCTTTGTCCAATTTGGTCCATGTTGATCATAGTGCCCAATCAACTATTGCCAATTGCCTACATTTGGTGCATATCCCTCTAAATCCTTCCCATCCATATACCTATCCAATTTTTTTTAAATGTTGCTATTGTATCTGCCTCAACTATGTTCTGTGGTAGCCCATTCTATATACGTACCACTTTCTGTGTGAATGAGTTGCCCCTCAGGTCCTTCTGAAATCTTTCTCCCCTCACCTTAAACCAATACCCTCTAGTTTTCAATTCCCCATTCCTGGGAAAAAGACTATGAGCATTCATCCTATCTATGCCCCTCATGATTTTATACACCACAATAACATCACCCTCATACTCCTACATACCAAGGAATAAAGCCCTGCCCTGGCCATCCTCTCCCTATAACTCAGGCCTACTAGTCCTAGCAACATCTTTGTAACTCTTCTTTGCACACTTTCAAGTTTAACTATGTATTTTGTATAACAGGGTGACCAGAACTGTACACAATACACCAACTGCATCAAGAAGTGACACAAGCACATGTCTTTTCCCCCACTGGACTTCAGGAATGTGCAGAATTGGGGACAGTGCGACTGTAGGGGGAATGCTGGCCTCTCAGTAAGCCTGTGCGTTTCAATGTCCTCAAGGTCACCAAAACCTACTGGAGCAAAGAAACACTACCAGAAGTCTTGAATGTGTTCATAATGTGAATCGGTCACAGTAAAGTATTTGTGAAAAGGCAAAAATAAAAATGTGAAAGCAATCGTTGGTGAGAAACTAGCGTTATGACCATGTTAAAAGTGCTGGGAAGTCTGGCACATCAGACTTCTGTTTGCAAATCAAGGCCTGTTGGTTAGCTTTAAAGATTGGGCAAGACATTTGAACCCTATGGTTTGAACTGAGCACGAGGATTTCTCTGTATGCATTGTAGCTGTCTAACTACCTTAATCAAACAAAATCTCTCTAATCAAGATGACAACTAGATACCCTGCCAGGAATTTTTAAATTGTAATTTATTGTATTTTAATGGCTTTATTATCCTAGGAATGTTTAGGTGAATAGTTAGCGACAATGTGTATCATTGATACCAGAATCTAGTCCCTGTACCCACAGTTTGTATAGAAAGAAGATGATCCATCTATTTACAAGGGGATGTAGCTCTTGGGGCCTGAGTAAATAATGGACGGATATGGGAGTCAATGTATGTCCATCCATGTGACACGGACTACAAATGTGAACTGACTCTTACCCACAGTCAATGGGAAACGTCATTTGGACCAATTCCAAATAAGAGTTGGAAGTGCAGAACCTTCTTGTGCATAGTTTTACCATTGTCCCTGTGGCTTCTGAGACACCACTTGGGAAACATTAGCTGCACTGAAGCAACTCAATGCACCCTAGGCCCATGAAGGACAAAAAAACTTCCAAGACATCTTTGCTGAGTTGCTTTTAGCTGAATTGGCTGATTTGTGTTGCATTGTTAGGCCAATGGTGTGGGCTCAAATCCCAATCCTAGCTGACGTCACCTGGGGTGTGTTAATCCTCAAGTTAAACACACCACCCGTTGTCTCTCAAATGGGAGAGCAGCCCTCTGCGGCTATGATGAATTATCTTCACATAAAGTTTGAAAATTGTGTTTTGTAACACTTAGAACATAAGGTGAAACATGGTAATTAGACTATCAATTATTTATAGAATCATCAAATCCCTACAACGAAGATAGAGGCTACTTGACCCATCAAGTATGCACTGAACCCCACGCCCTATCCTGTCATCATGCATGTATCATGGCCAATCCACCTAAACTGCATGTCTTTGGTTTGCAGGAGGAAACTGGTGCACCTGAAGGAAACCCACACAGACACAGGGAGAGGATGCAAGCTCCACACTGACAGTTGCCCAAGGGTGGGACCAAACCTGGGTCCTTGGCACTGTGAGGCAGCAGTGCTAACCACTGAGTCACCCATACTTACATATACTTATTAGTGGATTCAAATGTTTTCCATCTCTATTTATTCTAACTTTTCACCTGCACAGTCGTACAAATAGTTTATAATTATCAGTCCAATATAAACTCAATTATTTATTTCATGATGTCAGTAAATAAGTACACAGATTTATGCAAAGCATACATTCTTTGAATTCATAAATTTAATTCTGAGCTCACGTGTACCATGTTTACAGGTATGTTAAAATCCAAAAACAAAACTATGAAATTTATCTGCATGGATCACTTTGAATTAGACATTTCGAATGAGTGAGAATTATGTACAGAACCACAGGTAGCTTTAATGTTTGGGTTTTGTTTGCAATCTGAAGAAATTGAACAGCAGAACATTTTGTGAATGCTTCACAATTATCTCAGGTTACAATGGGTTTGAGAGCCAGAAGTACCAGGATCACCCTCTGCGATCTCAAATTCTATTGTCTCTACTTGTCTTGTAACTCTGGCCCAAGTGAATGCAACTCAGAGATTGAAGTTGCCACTTCAGCTATTCTTTACTGCACTGGTAATTTTGAAACCACCGTCTAATTTTGACTTGCACTCCCTCTGTTTTCCTGTGACCCTCATAAGTGTAACTCTTCGAGCACATGATATTGTTCAATATGCTCAACATGTTGAATTGCACACAGAGGCCGGATACCCAGCCCGTCTAACTTGCTTCACCATTCAATAAGATCGGGGCTCATGTGATTACTCTGCATTCCCATTGCCCTTCATAACCTTTCACTCCTTTGCTTTCCTAGAATCTATCTATGTAAGAATGATACACTACAAATGCTGGGGATCTAAAATAATAGAAACAGAAAGCACTGGAGAAACTCAGCAGGTCTGTCAGTGTCTGTGGAGAGAGGACCAAAGATAACGTTTTGTGTCCAGTATGACTTTCCTTCAGAACAAACTATTCCAAAGAAGTTATCAGACTCGAAACATTAACTCTGTTTTTCTCTCTCTCCATAGTTGCTGTCAGATCTGCTGAGTTTCTCCAATGCTTTCTAAATTTATTTATGAGTCTACCCATCTCTGCTGTAAAACTAAAACTGCTGTCACCAACTTAAGGAAGTGAAAACTTTACGAAAAGGGAAGCAGAGAGATGGTCTTCATGAAAAAAAGAATTCTCTATCTTAAGTAGACAAACTTAATTCAATTGCACACAATGCTCTAGTCCAGGACTAACCAGTGTTTGTTTTGTCATTGTTGTTGCTTACTTTAATACAGGGGTATAAACTGCAAATCTGTAGACAGCACTAAAATAGGTGGAGAAGTACGTGTCAATGAGCAAATAAGAAATTTATAAATGGATACAGATAGATTAGGTGAATGGGCCAAAGTTTGTCAGATCAAGTTTAACATGGATAAGTTTAAGGTGATCCATTTTGTTCAGAAGAACAGAAAGGCAAACTTATTATCTAAATGGAGAGAAATTTCAGAGTGTTTCAGTGGAGAGGGATCTGGGTGGCCTCATGCCTGAATTGCAGAAAACTAGTGTGCAGGTGTAACAGGTAATAAGGAAAGCAAATGTAATTTTGGCATATATTGTTAAAGGAATAGAGTATGAAAGTAGGGAAGTGTTGCTGCAAATGTACAAGGCATCGGTGAGACCGCACCTGGAGTATTGTGTACAGTTTTGGTCCCATTACTTGAGGAGGGATGTAGTTGCATTGGAGGCAACTCAGAGGTAAGTCCACTGGACTGATTCCATAGATGAGGGGTGGCATGGTGGCTCAGTGGTTAGCACTGTTGCCTCACAGCACCAGGGACCTGGGCTTAATTCCACCATCAGACAACTGTCTTGTGTGGAGTTTGCATGGTCTTCCCATGTCTGCGTGGGGTTTCCTCCGGGTGCTCCGGTTTCCTCCCACAATCCAAAGATGTGCAGGTTAGGTGGATTGGCCATGCCAACTTGCCAAAGTGTCCAGGGAGGTGGGTTAGCCACGGGAAATGTAGGGTTATACAGGACTGGCTGGGAGGGTTGGGGTATCTGGGTGGGCTGTTCTTTGCGGGTTGGTGTGGACTCGATGGGCCAAATGGCCTGCTTCCACATTGTAGGGATGATATGACTCGATGGGCTTGTCTTATGAATGGATATTAAGTATTTACACCTATAGTCTTTGGAGTTTAGCAGAATGAGATAAGATCTGCTTGAGATAGATAAGATGCTAAAGTGGATTGACAAAGTAGATGTAGAAAGGATGTTTCCTCATATGGGACAATCTAGAACGAGAGTTGATAGCAGATTTAAAACAGATGAGGACAAATTAATTCTCTCAAAGGGCTGTGAATCTGTGGAATTCGTTACCAGAGTGTGGTGGAGGTTGAGTTAATGAGTTAATTTAAGGAGGAGACAAACAGACTTTTAATTTGTAACAGGTTAGTTTAATTAGATTAAAGCATTACGGAGAGTGGGCAGGAAAGTGGATCGAGGATGAGATGAGATTGTATTTGTAGGAGTGTACCCCTTGACCTGGGACAAAGACTTAGGAGGCAGACAGGATTCAGGCAAGTTGCAGATTTTTATTCAAGCAAAAATGCAGGGAGAGGGCCAAATGACCTTCCCCAAATCTGGCCTCAATGTGAAAGCATAATTATTATCTTAATCTTTGGCTCAGACTGGAAGAGAGGTCAATGATGCATTTTGATTTTTACAGTCAAATACAGCCTTTTTATACATTTTGTGTTACAATAATCAAATACAGTGAAGCCCCTGGCCTTCCTCCTTAATCCATGCACCTGATTTTGTGGCGTACCTAATCAATGATGGGCATTCCTATGGACAGTCCCAGGTTTCCATGATCTCGTGGTGTTTACCAGGCATTGTTAATCTCCAAGAACAAAAACAAAAGTTGCTGGAAGCTCAGCAGATCTGGCAGCATCTCTGATGAAGAAGAAAATCAGAGTTAATGTTTCAGGTCCTGTGACCCTTCACCCTTATCTATGAGGACTGCTTGAATTCTGTTATTCACTTGTATTCCATGTGCTGCTTTTATCAAATTCAATTACTCCTCTGATGTTTTTCACTGTCCCAATAAGGTGTATATAAAAAATACAAACGGCAGTTGGTTTTAACTAACTGCTATAAGTTTCATTGTATTAATTTCTGTTACAAAGTATGAAATTATACAGCTATTTCTGCTGTTAGCATCTTATACTTAGCAAGTTGTGATCCATCTATTTAATTCGGAGCATACCAAGCATCATTTTTTTTAGAGATAAGAGAAAGTGTTTCCGGAGACTAATTAACTTTCTCATCTATGTTTAAATGTTTTTCCCCCTAATGCTTCTATTACTTTTGTCTATCTATCCCAATGTTGAAATCTACCCCTATGATTATCTGAAGAATCTTTATCTGGAGCCTATTTCTTAATATTGTGAATAACTTCAAAGAAGCAACCAATTGCTGCAAAATGGCTTTAGCTGTTTGTTATTACAGCTACATAGGGAGTTTTTCTGACTGGCTCATGGAATGAGATTTATTCTAACTGGTGTTATTCACTTAGTGGGAGGACATCCTTTCATTAATGAGGCTGGAGTCAATCACTTGTCTATCCTTTGACATTCTGTTATCAAACTGTCTCGGATGGTTGTTTGTAGGGCCCCATGTCGACCTTGGAGCTATCTTATTGAAAGGTGCCATTATGTTTCACTTAAATATTAGAGCAGGGTGTCCCATTTTGTTTTAATCCTTATCGTCCATTTTGTGTCTTCCAAACATGGTCCGCTGCTAGAGTATTTAATGGCAGAATAAGCTAGCAGGACTGAATGGCCTAATTCTACAACTTGTTGCGTTCTTCCATTCAACATGACTTTCTCTTCCCTACAGTTCAGCTCCTTAGCTACAGAAATATATACAGACATTAGAGGCAGCTCAGGGTAGGTTCATTCTGCAGCAGCCACGGATGGAGGGATTGTCTTATGAGCAGAGGTTGAACAGACTGGGCCTGGAGATTAGGAGAATGAGAGGCAACCTTATTGAAACATGCAAGACAAGTAGCAAGGTCTTTTCCTGAAGGTAGAGGAGTCCAAAACTAAAGGGCTTGGGTTTAAGGTGAGTGAGGAAAGATTTAAAGAGGATCTGAGGGGCAGCTTTTATGGAATGAATTTCCAGAGGGAGCAGTGAAAGCTGGTACAATTACAATATTTAAAAGGCATCTGGACAGGTTCATGAAGAGAAAGGGTTTAAACGGATATGTCCAGATGCTGGCAAATGGGACAAAGTCAGATTGGGATTTCTGGTCAGCATGGACGAGTTGGATGAAAGGGTCTTTTTCCGTACTGGATGACTCTACGAATTCAATTCATCAGCACCCTGTTTTTCCTTTAAATGGTACAGTTTCTCCCTCCCCGTGGGCCTCACTGCTGCTGAAACTGCCCGAAGGAGCGACTGCTGGAGAACAAACCCCCTCCTGGTCCCAGAGCCCCGGTCTCCAAAATGTTCTGCAGAGGTGAAGAGGCATCTACTCTTTGAGAAACTTCAATTCAACATCATTCTGTTTGTTTGGAAAGCATTGTCAATTACAGGCAGTGAGTTCAAGAGTTGCTTTGATCCAGAACCAGATTGAGTCCAGGTTCAGATACAGTTTGATATGCTGTCTACCCCGTTCCAGATTCAGGTGATGGCTGTTCATCGACAAGCTCCGTCGAATGGTGTTAGGGGAGTTGCAATAACAGATTGAAAACTGACAGAAGGAGACGTTTGGCCCATCGCTGTTTGCTACCGCTACCCAACAATGTCCAGTGTCTCTTCCATGCCTTGGAACCTTGAATTATTTCCATCAAGCCTTGCTGGGGGGAGGACATTAGTGAGGATTGAGGTCAAGACTTTGTCTGTTTCCTTTGGAAGATTTCTATTCGATGTAGATCCTTAGCCTCTCGGACGGTATTGCAGTGAAAAATAATGATGTCCTTGTGTGGGCTCTGTCCTTTAGTGCAGGAATAGACAGATGACTGAAATGAATGCAATGGGGCAGGAGAGTGCAGTTGTGGGAAATGTGGGATTGGCAGTTCTCTTAACATGTTTTGAATGGCTAAGCAGACTGGGTGGACTGAATGGCCACCCCCTTGCTTGATACTATTGATGAGGTTTGTTTCCCTGAGGCTCCATATGCGTGTGTTCCCAGGATTGGTCTACACCGAGATGAGAACCAGGAGCAGTAGGATCCACAATCCGACTGAGAGCGAGTTGGCCGTCCCCCGGCACCGTACCACCACGAGACTGCCATTTTTGCCCCTTTCCACCTGCACGGCGACCCCCAGCTTACCCTCCCCTGTGAGGGTGATGTTGGTGCCATACTTCCAGGGAGTCACCAAATTCACCCGGAACACCTCGTAGGGGGGGATCAAAACTTCCATCTCCTCAGGGAAGCAGGAGTAGTTCATGATTGGGACCCCATACCTGGAGTGGATTTGAAACCAGGTGTTGTGATTTGAGGATGAATTTGTGAAATTGAGGGCAATGCTTTGATTCAGTGAGGAAGAAGCAAAGAATCCAAATCTGACATGCGACCCCTGCAGGGCATTCACTGGTAGTCTGACCCCTCTGTAAGTCAGTTCCCTCGGGTGAGGCTTGTCCTTTCTTAGTTGTTCCAAGGCCACCGTCAACAAATAATGGAAACTCTTGAACTTGAAATCCCGGGTGTAGACAGTGTCATTTGCTCCGTACTCTCGGACCGCCTCATTGAATAACTTGTAGAACTGGCCATCTTCGATGTAACTCGCTGTGTAAGTGTAAACCGCGTGAATGTGATCCTTTGTCAACCCTCTAGGTATGACACTGTGGGTCATACAACTGTTCGCTTTCTTCCAAGCATTATCAAAGACTTTATTGGCTCTTCTGTCCTTCTCCAGCTGGGCCCTGGCCAGGTCATCAGCCTGGCTGCTTTGGGTGAAGAGGTAAGCAGCTGAATTGAGAGCCATGTCCATTTGGATGACCCGACCAATGTCTCGTTTTGGAACATTGACCGCAAGAGCCGTGCCCCGGTCTGTAAGGAGAAAGGACACAGTCGTGAACTAGGATCGAGAATCATGGAGTGATTGCATCCATGGAATGAGTAGATGGCTCCAGCACCTCATCTGTTGCTGAGGGTGATACAAATATCTCTGCTGGGGGAACTACAATTTCTTCCCTAACTTCTCACAACATCCTAGTACGCACTTGATCAGGACACTGAGATTTGTCCAACTTTACATTTTTTTTAAGACCTCCAGCACTTCCTCGTCTGTAATGTGGAGTGATTTCAAGATGTCAATAATTATTTCCCCAAGATCATAGAATCATAGAATCCCTCCACTGCGGAAACTGGCCATTCGGCCCATCAGTCCACACTGACTCTCTGAAGAGCATCCCGCCCAGACTCACCTTCCCCACCCCCGTCCCTGCATTTCCCACAGCTAATCCACTTAATTTACACATCCCTGGACACTATGGCTGATTTAGCATGGCCTTTCCAGCCTCCATTTCTTTCTCCATAGTAAAAATTTAAGAGGGACCTTTGGGCCGACCTTTGGGCCAACCCTTTCACACAGATGGTGTTTCATTCATAGAGTCAACCACCAGGGGAAGGGGTAGAGGCTGATACAGTTACAACACTGAAAAGACATTTGGACATGTACATGAATAGGAAAGATTTAGAGAAATATGGGCCAAAGGCAGGCAAATGGGACTAGTTTAGTCTAGGCAACATGATCAGTATGGATGAGTTGGACTACAGGGTCTGTTTCCATGCTGTATAACTCTGAGACTCTATGGCTCTAAGTACGGCAAATTCAGAGGAAAATCTATGGAACAGTAGCAGACAGTAATTGCTGTGGGTTATATTTAAACTGGCATGACACAGTGTCCCTGGCCTTCTCTGAATAAGAGAAGTGCGTGGTGTTGAGAATAGAAGATCATATTGAGTGGTGCACCAAACTCGATGGGCCGAATGGCCTACTCCTGCTCCTATTTCCTATGGTTTTCATTTAAAAGGGATTCGTCCTGATTGGAATGAAAGCAGATTGGAAATAAACCGATCAAATCGAATCATTTTCAAATCCGGCTGACCTTTTAACATCTGATGAGAAACAGGATCCGGAAATCAGGAAGTGACTAACACGTGCAAGAGGAATATTTGGGAAAATGCCAGACACTTTCTTTTAGAAGACTGATTCCTTCCAGGGAAAGCAGAACGAGGTTTCAGAAAATCCTACAGCTGGTCAGCATTAAGTTCTGGATGTGAAAGTTGAAATATAAGCAAAACAATGAAGTGAAATTGTCACAGTCCCACTCGCTTCTTAGAGAGAGGCATCTGATGGTGAGGCTAACCTGATAATTATGAGTGGCGCAGTGGTTTAGTGGCTAGCACTACTGTCTTACAGTGCCAGGGACTTGGGTTCAATTCCACTTTCTGGTGATTGGAACTGTGGTGTTTGTACATTCTCCCGAAGCCTGTGTGGGTTTCCTTTGGGTGCTCCAGTTTCCTCCCATCTAAAGAAGTCCAGGTTAGGGTGGATTAGCCATGCTAAATTGTCGGTAGTGTCTAGGGATGTGCACGCTTAGGTGGATTAACCATGGAAAATGTGGGTTTACTGTGATGGGGTGGGTGGCATGTTCTTTAGAAGGTCGGTGTGGACTTGATGGGCCAAATAGCCTGTTTTCACATGGTAGGGATTCAGGTAAGAAGCAAGATTGAGAAGGCAGGACCCCATGGTAACCTTGGTTAGTGCAGGATGTTAGCATCATGCTACATCATAAACCAACCATTCAACAGCTAACCAGACAATAGATTATTTTAATCATTCTTGTGGCCAGGCCCAGATAGGTGACCTATTGCTAATTCACCTGGAGAAGGTGACAGTGAGCTGCCTTATTGAACCACTGCTGTTCTTGGGCTATGAAGATGCCCAGAATGCTGCAGGGATGTGCTTTCTGAAACTGACGTTGAGAGTTCTTTCTCCGATGTATACAGCTAATGACTCCATGTTGAGAAAAGGAAATAGACAAGAAGAACACTGACAGAGAATCATTCCGATACAACTCCAGTTCTTAGACCTCAGAGCAAAGGAAGCCAGCATACCTGCTTCCTGGTGACTGATACAATTTGAAAACTGCACCAAGCTGTTGGCTCTTATCAAGGACTGTGAACATTAGAGAGGCAAGATGGCCGATGTTTGTGAAACACGCAGCAGGAAAAGACTATTAACAACCCAATCATTCGCCTTCACAGAGGGTCCAAGTGGTTGGGTCAACATTTATATAGCACCCTTCATGATCTTATAGATCCCAATACGTCTTCTAACTAACAAGCTCCTTTCTGAAGAACATTCATTGTTGTCAGATCGGAATTGTATCAACTAATCTGTACTCCAAGTAACCCCCACAATGAGTTAAGTGTTAATGCTCAGGTAATGTGTCATTGGGAATATTGCTTAAAGGATAAATATTGGCATGACCAATGGGAATGTCTACTCTACTCTTCAAAACAGTGACAGTAGATCATTCTGGCTCACCTGAGACGGGGGTGTGGGGAGATGAGGGCTTAGGTATATGTTGGTGGGAGGCATGCTCGGTTCCCGTGAGGAGAGATTTGGAAAGTTAGATTATCAATACAGATAATGACAACCAGAGTTTGATAGAAAGAGACAGGGAATGTAGACATAAGACTGCACCAAAAAGAAATAAGGTCAGTGTAAGTCATGAAAGTAATGAGAGCAACCGAATTACTGGCACTTTAACTAAATTCATGCATCTTTTGAAAGAAGTGGATGAATTGATAGAAGTGATTGTCTTAGGAGGTTAAATAGGTTGGAACTCTAGTCATTGGAGTTTAAAAGAATGAGAGGTAGTCACATTTCCCAGCAAGTGGCCCATAGTCTTATTTGGCATGGCATTGCAAGTGCACATCTAAATGCTGCTTAAATATTATGATGATTTTTACCTCTACCACACTTACAAGCAGCAAGTTCTAGATTCCAGCCACCCTCTGGGTGAAATATTTTTCCCTCACATCCCCTCTAAGCCTTTTGCTTCTTTCTTGAAATCTATTCCCCTGGTTATTAATACCTCCATCAAGGGCAAACGTTCCTTCTCATCTTACCAGTCTATCCCACTCATAATTTTATTCATCTCAGTCATATACACCCTCAGTGTCCTCTGCTCTAAGGAAAACAACCTCAGTCTATGCCATCTCCCTTAATAACCAAAACTCTCCAAGCCAAGCAACAACATAGGAAGGATATTGTTAAACTGGAGAGGGTTTAGAAAAGATTTACCAGGATGTTGCTGGGAATGGAGGGTTTGAGTTATAAAAATAGACTGGAAAGGCTGGGATTTTTTTTCACTGGAGCATAGTAGATTGAGGGTTGACCTTTATAGAGGTTGATAAAATCCTGAGGAGCACAGACAAGGTAAATTGCAAAGACCTTTTCCCTAAGGTGGGAGAGTTCAAACTAGGGGGCATTTTGTTTTAAGGTGAGAAGAAAAAAAAATTTAAAGAGGACATGAGGGACTTTTTTTTTATGTAGAGTGGTTTGTGCGTGAATGGAACTGCCAGAGGAATTGATGAATGCAGGTAGAATTGCAATGTTTTAAAAGACGTTTGGATAAGTATACAAACAGGAAAAGTTTGGACGGATATGGGCCAAATACAGGCAGGTGAGACTAGTTTAAATTGGAAATATGGTCGGCGTGGACTGGTTGAACCGAAGGATCTGTTTCCATGCAAGGGAATGAGTGTGGTTGGTTCGACCAACTCAGTGTGTCGCCAGCAAGCAGATTTGAGGAAAAACAAAGCCAGAGGATTAAAAGCAGAAAATAATCTATTGATTGCCTGAGCCAACATTGTAAATACTTACAATTGAAACAGACGGCAGTCAGCAGAGTAATAAACACATAGCACATTGTTCCTCTCCTCCCTTCTTTTTCAATTGATGTGCAATAACTGACTCCTGTCTCTCTGAGCTGTGTTACTTCAGGATTTGTCCTTGTTTTCAGAGAGTTTTGCTGCTTGCAATGGTATCTGTACATCACTGCATGTGGAGTCAGTGAAAGTGAAACTGAAAGAATGACCAAAACCAGTTGGTGTCTCAGAGCCTTATTACATTAGTTCTTGTGAAATCTGTTTGTGTGTATTGCCTGTCTCATTTTGTGAATTACACATTTCATTGTTAGTAAAGGGAATTCTGATCTCTTGAAGGTATTTAATTATACTTTTGTTGGTTCGCTATTGACAGCGTGAAATCTGCAGCAATTCCTTCCCTTTGGCCTGAGTCAGAGAGATCAGAAGAAGCAGTTTAGATTTAAACCTGCAATATCAAGGTATAAAGGTAACAGTGAAGTCCGTGTTGATCAAAAACAGCCATCCTGAGCAGGTTCTTGTCTCCTTCTAAGGAAGGGTGTGATGATGTTGAAGGGAGTCCAGAAGAGGTTTACAAGAATGATCCCAGGGATGAGGGGCTTGTCAGATGAGGAGTGGTTGAGGACTCTGGGTCTGTACTTAATGGAATTTAGAAGGATGAAGAGGGACCTGATTGAAATGTATAAAATACTGAGAGGCCTGAATAGACTGGACGTGGAGAAGATGTTTCCACTAGTAGGAGAGACTAGGATCTGAGGGTATAGCCACCGAGTGAAAGGACAACCCTTTAGAACTTAGTTGAGATGGAATTTCTTCAGCCAGAGGGTGGTGAATCTGTGGAAAACATTGCCACAGAGGGCTGTGGAGACTAAGTCGTTGAGTGTCTTTAAGACAGATAGATAGGCTCTTGATTTCTAAGAGGATGAACGGTTACTGGGAGAAGGGAGGAGAATGAGGTTGAGAAACATATTAGCCATGATCGAGTGGCGGATCAGGCTTGAAGGGTTGAATGGCCTAATTCTTCTACTATATCTTATAGTCTAACAGAGCACTTTAATCCCCTTTTCAAGCATGCCCCTACTTTCAGGGCCAGTTAGCTCAGTTGGTTGGAAGGCTGGTTTGCAATGCAGGGTGATTCCAACAGTGTGGCTTCAATTCTTGTCTTGGATGAGATCCCCAGGGAAGGTCCAACCTTGTCCAGTTCTCTCCTGCCTGAGGTGTGGTGACTGTTAGGTTGAGGCAGCATCAATTCTCTCTCTTGAGTCTCTCTCAAGATTAAGGCCTTTTCTTGAATGAGAGAGCAGCACTATAATCCTCTGAATCCATGGCGACTTGACCGTTACCTTTAGACCTTGATATTGCAGGTGTACATCTAAGTCCTGCTTCAATGCGATGAGGATTTCTGCCTCTACCACCCTGAGAGTCAGTAAGCTCCAGATTCCACCAACACCTAGGAGAAAACATTTTCCTCCCATACCCTCTGAACATTCTTCCCCCTACCTTCAATCTATACACTTGGTCATTGATCCCCCCCATCTAGGGGAAAAGTTTCTTTCCGTCTACCCTATCTATGCCACTCAGAATCTCAATTGTGTCCTCCCTCAGTCTCCTCCACCCTAAGGAAATCAACCCCAGCTTGTCAAATCCCTCCTCATATTCTTCTGCCTCTGTGCTTCCACATCTCTGTGTTTGAATCTCTCTCATTCTCACTATCGCAAGCCTCCACTGGCAATGCACGCTCTCTCAGGATTGTTTAGGATCTCTTGATGCCAGAGGTAATGTATGAGCGTGGAGTAGGGGTAGGATTGTTGACAGGAAAGGGAGATTACGCAAAAGTGGGTCATTTTCACATTGGCGTGTTTTAGTGACTGGTTGTAGCACAGTGATCAGTGAATCATAGAACAGAATCATACAGAGGCCCTTCAGCCTATCGAGTCTGCACCAACAAATTTCTACTTTAAGTCTACACTTCTCCCACTTTCAAGCACTTTGTCCATAGCCTTGAATGTTATGACACTGGTTTTGTTTTTAAGGAAATGTGGAAGTTACTGGCTAGGTCAACATTTATTACCAATCCCTTCATTGTCCAGAGGATAGTCAAGAGTCAACCACATTGCTGTGGGTCTGGAGTCATATGTAGGCCAGACCAAGTAAGGATAGCAGATTTCCTTCCCTAAAGGACATTAGTGAACCAGATGGGTTTTTTCTTCATTCTTTATTTTTTCCTGATGATTGTCTCAAAGTCATCATTCCATCTTTTATTCTGGATTCTTTTTATTGAATTCAAATTCCACAATCTGACTAAACTAGATCCACTTGCCTGCATTTGGCCCAAAACACTCTAAGACCTTCCTATTCATGTACCTATCCAAATGTCTTTTAAACGTTGTAACTGTACCTGCATCTACCACTTCCTCTGGCAGTTCATTCCATGCACAATCCACCTTCTGTGAAAACATCGCTCTTCGGCTCTGTCTTTAAGTCTTTCCCCTCTCCCCTGAATCCTTTCCAATTTCACCATATCATTCCTATAGCAGGGAGACCAGAATTTCATGCAGTATTCCAAAAGTGGCATAACTAAAGTCCCGTACAGCCTCAACATGACAGGTTGGGCGGGAGGGGAGCCCAAAACTAGAGGGGCATAGGTTTAAGGTGAGAGGGGAAAGATTTAAAAGAGATCTAAGGGGCAACTTTTTCATGCAGAGGGTGATGCTTGTATGGAATGAGCTGCCTGAGGAAGTGGTGGAGCCTGGTACAATTTAAGTTACAACATTTAAAAGGCACCTGGATGGGTATACGAAAAGGAAGTGTTTAGAGGGATATGGGCCAAATCCTGGCAAATGGGACTACATTAATTAGGATATCTGACTGGCATGGACGAGTTGGACCAAAGGGTCTGTTTCCATGCTATACGTCTCTATGACTCTATTGCTCCAGCAGCAATAATTCTACAAGCCAATGAGAAGTGGTAAATTGATCAATGGCTAGAAGTTGAGATGAAGTGGGCTGATCACTGGTTTGATCTTTGGACAAGTCCATCTTGAAGCAGTCACTTGTGATTGTAAGCACTGAATGGGTAAGTTTGTTGCAGTTTTTTTGGAGTATACTTTGCGTCAATAAAAGACGTTTGAGTATATCCTTTCGTTAGAACTGTCTTGGGTTGTTGATATCCAAAGTAAACCCAAAGACAGGGAAATTGGAAATAAAAGCCGAGAGTGTTCAGTGCTGCTTCAATTGCGCAACAATGTGTCTCTCTGCCAGTATTGACTCTAATAACATTACTTTTTTCATCACTTCCTCTCTGACAATGCAGAGTTGCCTTTTCCCTACTTGTCTGAGAATGCAGCAAGACTTTGTGAATTCCTTGTTTCATCAGGCCAAATTTCATTTTCACTTTTCTGGAATGGGTTTTGAAACCATAAACTTTTGACATGGAAATGATACTGCTCAGAAAAAGCCAATGCAAGCAGATATTGTTTGAGCAACTTTCCAAAAATTATGATCACTGTTTTCCCCGCCATTTACTGTATGACTAAAAAATCTTTTTAGTTCTTAAATTTGACATCCTACTGGCACATGATGCACTTTCACACTTGCACACTACTGAGGAACTGAATAGTCCGTTAATATATTAGCCTTAACTCATTGACCATACTGATTCCTGGAATGGCGGGACTGATATGAGGAAAAACTGAATCGACTGGGCTGGTATTCACTGGAATTTAGAAGAATCGGGGAGGGGGGTCTCATAGAAACATATAAAATCCTGATGGGACTGGACAGGCTAGATGTGTGAAGAATGTCATAGTCATAGAGTCATAGAGTCCTACAGCATACAGACAGGCCCTTTGGCCCAGACTGGTCCATGCCGACCAAAATGTCCATCCATGCTAACCCCAAGGCCCATATCCTTCTAAATCTTTCCTATCCATGTACTTGTCCACATGTCTTTTAAATGTTGTTAATGTACCTGCCTCAACCACTTCGCTGGCAATTCATTCCATATGTGTACCACCCTCTGTGTCTAAAAAAAAAAAGTTGCCCCTCAGGTTCCCATTTATTCTTTTCCTTCTTAGCTTAAACTGATGCCCAACCCGGGGAAAAAGACAGAGTGCATTCACTCTATCCATGCCTTTCATGATCTTATACACTTGTATAAGATCCCCACTCTCACCCCACTCAGTCTCCTACCCTCTGAAGAAAAAAGTCCTAGCTTGTCCAACGTCTCCCTATAACTCAGTCCCTTGAGTCCTGGCAACATCCTTGTAAATTTCTTCTGTACTCTTTCCAGTTTAATAACATCCTTCCTATAACAAGATGACCAAAACTGACACAATAGATGACCAAAACTCAACACAATTGTCCCCAATGTTGAGGTCCAGAGTGAGGGGTCACAGTCTAAGAATGAGGGGTAATCCATTCAGGGCTGAGATGACAAAGAATTTCCTCACTCAGAGCCGTGATTCTGTGGAATTCCCTCCCATAGAAAGCTGTTAAGGCCACTTTGTTAGATATATTGAAAAGGGGTGTGGCCGTAACACGTAAAAGGATCAAGGGGTATGGAGAGAAAGCAGGAGTTGGATACTGACATTGCATGATCATATTGAATGGTGATGCAGGGTCAAGGGTTGAATGGCCTACCCTTACACCTATTATCTATGTTAATTCACACATCAACTGCTCCTCAGTGAATGGAACCGTTGTGTCTTAACTAGAAGGATTTGTAGAACCAAGCTTCATTCTAAAGATTTGAGTGTGACTTTTTCAGAGCAGAGAGAGGCTTTGGTGAGGCCACAGCTGGAGCACGGTGTGTAGTTCTGGTCACCACACTACAGAAAGGATGTGATGATACTGGAGGGGGTGCAGAGGAGATTCACCAGGATGTTACCTGGGATGGAGCGTTCCAGTGATGCATAGAGGCTAGATAAGCTTGAGTTGCTTTCCTGAGAGCAGAGAAGTTTGGTTGGTGTTGGGGGGGGGGGAGCGGGGAAACGTAGAAATGGATAGAGCTGTATAAGATCATGTGGGTGAATAGAAAGCAGCTGTACCCCTGAGTTGAAGGGTCTGTAATAAGGGGCATAATTTTAAAGTGAAAGGCAGGAGGTTGAGAGGGGATTTGAGGAAAACCCTTTTCACCCAGAGTGTAGTGAGGGTCTGAAAGACACTGCCTTGGAGGGTAGTTGAGGTG